ACTATATTAAGGTTTGCAACCAGGGAAGCATAGAAAATATTACGCGCGGTCATTATTGCATATCTGAAGTTGCGGCGCTGTCTAACACCTGGAAACCGTTTGGTCGAGTAACAAAAGCAAGGCCAGGAAATTTCGGTGGAGTCAGCTGTAATATTTCCAGCCAGCCATTAAAAGAAATCGCTGGCAACATGGAACTATCAAACTCTGCTTCAATGCATTCGATGAAACGGCGTTTGATGAGATGGCTTCAAATAAACGACTTCGATTAAACGGCGTTCGATGAAATGTACAGTCCCAATTCGAATGGTAAAATATCTGGTAAAGAATCAGCGTAGCTAAATAGCAGTTTTGGCATGAATCTTTTTTTTCTTTTTTCTGGAGGTATTGTAAGCAGTATCTTTGATATGAACTGGGTTTTGTCATACAATTTACCCCTTGGTGCTACGAAAGAGCTTGCAAAATAACTGTGAATTGTGTACTTAGTTATGTGTTGCTAAAAATAAAACGTAAAAAATGCGAGACAAGATGGCCGCCGGGAGAGCAAAGCCAGCATACAATAGCAAACAGCAAAACGTACTGCCGTGCCAATCAACGGGAATATCAGAACATGATAACTCACCGTCGGAGTGCATTCTTGCCTTCAAGAAGTGTCACGTGCTTTGTTTCGTCTCTCTAACTGACTCACGGTGGCATAGCCGTTGCCCTTTCACAAATAATGCTGACACAGAGTGTAGGAAAGAAAAAAAAGCTAGTCGATAGGGTGAAACTAATGCATGTGTAATTAACCGGAAAGGATGACGCAATAAAATCATGAAAGATGTGGTTGTGTTGTCCCTGTTTTAATTGTTTATTCTTTCTTCATCCATGAATAAAACCAAAAACGCAGTATTTACCCTCAATGAGAGATACAATGTGCACTGAAAAATCAAAGAAATATGTGGCGCCATCTATCCAATATGGTGGCACAATCGACTGATTATCAGGCTGGACACGACAGAACTTCCTTGTTTACTGTTGTAGTGGTGACTTTATTATTTTAAGGATTTTTATGAATAACTGCTCGTGTATTTTTTTTCTTGCACTGGTAGGTTCCATCACGCAATACCAACTTGCCCAAGCCATCATCTTAGCCATCTGGGGGTGCTGGGAAAAAACAGCATGGAAAGAAAAAGAAATGTGCCCGAGTGGTGCGTGTTCGGAAAAAATAAAAGAGTAAGTTTCATTTTTTTTCCTTATAGCTTTGTTTCATGGGAAATGAACACCTAAACTTTTGAAAAATGGGGTTCTTTTCGTACAATTTGCTAGCTGTTGTCGACAGCAGTCCTTTCTGCATCTAAATTATACCATGCATGCATGACCAGGTTACCCCAGAAGACAATAGTTCGGCCGGGTCACATCAAAACACACTTGACAGGCTCACGCCAAGGCAGCAGAACATGCCAAGACACCAGAGCACGCCAAAGCACCAGAACACACCACAACACCAGAGCACCACAAAGCACCAGAACACGCCAAAAACCGTGCCTTAAGTTCTGCTCTGGTGTAAACATAAAAAACACACCAGGTCCTGGCTGGTGGATTTTTTAATACGTAGCTTGCACATGACGTTATTTCCGATAACCTCCAGAGAAAAGCAGAACTTCCCCTCTTATCAGGATCCTCCTTTGTGCCTCCCGGATATGCACAGACGTCGCTACTCTCCTCCCAGAAGATTATAGAAGATAAACCCGTCACCCAAAATTCTTACAAAAGCAGCTTCCCTCTCTTCATTTTACATGATGGTCAAAAGTATGCAACGTTACGTCATTCCATGGAACCTATAGGGATGTCTTGACTCGACAGCCTCCACAATCGAAAATTTGGCACTATGCATTGTATTAGGTTTCGGTTGCTTCCGCTCTTCGCCTAATAGCACTTTGTTTACAAGCTGATGCAGAACTGCGTGTTAAGCGGGAATACGACGGCAGCAGGGTGGTTGATTGCGAGTTCATCGCCATGATGAGTCTGCCAAAAGCCAACTTTTCTATCCAGTCTCCTTAAAGAGGCATGATTCATTTGACTTATGCTGTACTTAGGAGGAAACGAGATGATGTTTAATGTTGGCCAAATTGATGCTCAGGCTGACTCAGTACTAACACAGTAAATTTGATCTAGTAGCATGGGGCCATTGAAAAAAGGGGCGAACAACCTATTTTCCTGGAAATGGAGCGTGCTGGTTAAGTTGCTCTGTTAGAGCAGAATAAACGTGTCGTCCGGTTTCCGTCCTCTATGTTATTCTCCTCTAACACAGTAACCTCTTCTTGTTGCTTTTCCAGCGGAGGTACAGCGTTCTTTGTTTATTTACATTCATACTACAGCCTAGAGCTTGATCTTAATATTCTAAAAATGGTAGAAACAAAATGGCCCTGGTAAATATAATTGTGAGTTCATACTGTTTGTTCTATCCTGTTCTGAAATGTTACAATGTTTACAGTTTCAAACTGGAAAAAAGGTTTAGCAAATGTTCCGAATATGTATATATATATATATATAAATGTATCTTTTTGATCCCATGTCCTTTCTGATTTCACGGGAATAGAACGCTTATGTTGTTTTGACTTTTGTCAGAGACTGTCTTGAAAGCTCACAATGCTTGTTGTCGGTTTGACATTGATAAAGGTTACCATGAAGCTTTCAAAGCGTACAAGGCATAGAATGAATGCATTCTTTGTCGCCCCATCTCAGTTTCTTCAGTGTCAGGTATTTCACCATGGATGCATTGTGTATTATTCTAGGATTGTTTTTGACGTCGGGGGAAGGGTGACATGCGCAGAAAAATATAACAAGTTACGTCGGCCGTATATTGTATTTCGATATTTGAGATGCTTGTTTAGTGCGAATAGCGCTGAGAGACGTAAGACCGGGAAGGGGAGACACACAGACAGGGCGATTCTGCAATGATACACGTAGTTGGGCGAGTTGGTGGTGCAAACTTGTTTGGTGGGAGCAGCGCTAGAATAAGTAGGTCTAGGACGAGGACACACACGCTGACTGTGTGTTTCCTCGTCGTGGTCCTGCGTGTTTTACCACTGTTTCCACCAAAGATGTATGGACGACCAACTAGCCCAACTACATGGATTTTTGAAGTTAATTCGAGATAAGTCCGTGGCAGTAGTTTAATTGCAATACAGAAATACAAATGCGATCAGAAAACTCTTTTGAAATACAAACACACAGATCAAAACAGCATTTGATAGCTACTATCGAGAGGCATTTTATTGTGCTAATGCTCATCCGAGCGTCCTTCCCAATTGGAACATATAGTTTGAACTCAAAAAGGCGGATTCAGCCCCGGTATTTAAATACAAACTAATTAAAATCAAACGTTCAGGTGACCTGAGTAGAAGCTTGAAATAGCTATGCTTCCAAGTAACGACGTGTCAGCTGTAAAGGCGGCTCAAATCATTGTTGCAAGTTAGCTCAAACTTTATATTAACCACGCAAAGAATGCTTTTTTTTCTACAAAATTATGACAGCATAGTAAAGCAAATTCCTATTGCCTGAGCTTTCCAACACACTAACTCAAGCGCAGGTAGTCGTACTTTTTAAACTGTAGCCACGACCCACTGCACCCACTCTGCATTACACGACGAAATAGCAGCTGACCCCAGAACCTTGGTAAATGAATAGCCGATAGTCCAAAAGTAGTTATTTTGTGGCTTTAAACCAGGCAACACCTCGGATAGTTTATACTGAAATGCGAGTATTAATCAGCTCATACTGCAACAGCAGAGCAAGAAATTAAGAAACATAAAAATAGCGATAACTATAAGTAAACAAAAGTACAATAATCAAACACGGCGATATGTACACAAGGATACACACGCCTATGTAAAATTACTCTTGTTTCTTACATATGTTTTTCAATTTTTCATCGGCATGTCACACCACTGGCAGTTTTAGTAGACACTTAAATTAACACACAGATAGACAAGGTGCGATGAGAGCTTGAATATGACAATGCCTGCTAAGAATGTTCCATCCCTGGTACTCTGGTGTTTGGATGAACATGTCAACTGGATTATTCTTGTCGGTAGATGTTTGTCGTTATAAGCTGCAAATGTGGCCATGTCGAGTTCAAACATAAAATTCATTCCGCACGAACTATTTTGATCCAGACATAATTTAACCGTCGTTTACATAGGACGCAATAAAAAAAATATTCGCATTCTCGAATGAACACTATGAGTTATATGTCCGTGTCTCTGTTTCATATTTGCAACAACCGTCCACGGAAAGTTTCGCAGTTAATTTCGACAGGCACAAGCGTAGATTTCCAAGATTCAGGTTTTTGATGATGGGTGACAGTTAGTCTTCTGAAGTTGCAAATATATTATCATACAAAAAACGAAATGTGTATGCAAAAGAATTTAAATTATGCGATAAGAAATCTCAGAAAAATATCAAATCATATCAGTCGTTTCTATCTGCTTTCTTTTCGGAGCATAAAAATCAGGGACATATGAGGAAAAACATGTAGGCCTATAGGAATGTAAAGGTTACTTATAACGTCCGCTGTCATTCTATATGATTGTCAATCAAATGCAGGTCAGAGACAAGACAATCTGAAACTTGAGATTTTTGACAGCTTTACTTTCACTTTAAGTCAGAGCACAATCAAGGCTAGAAGACGCACAAGCCCAAGCGCCGCCAAACTGAACTTCTAAGGTAAAGGCGCCTATGATGCGCATGATCGGTTTAGCAGGTGGTGTTATACGCACTGAAAGACGACGGAGCGAGTGACGTTGCATTTCCGGCTCTGCTTGAGTGGCCTCATTGGTTCCTACCTTTCGTTACGTTCGGATTTAGTGACAGAAAATAAAGCATGTAAACAATCATATTCATCCGTGAGATTGACTCTTTCACATTGTTTACTGAGAACTGCGCTCCATACATTCCAACGACCGGCGTATAAAAGTGGAGTGGGACAATGACTTCTGTATGCTCTACGAAGACGTACACAAGCCAATATGAAGATTCCAGCGTCCACAGCTCTTGCAGTAATGGCAGGTAATTTGTTTTCGTCAATGCAAAACACTGTTTGAGCAGGCAGACCATTTCTATGTTAGAAACATTTAGTATATTTTAACCGTTTTCTTTCGGATTTAGAATTACCATTATGCATCACAAAAATGTACAGTCCTGGGTAATGTGAGTTGAAACTACTGAGTGACAAGCGAGGAGGAGATTTGGACGCGCCCCGAAATCAGAGCTGGAACTAGCGATAGAAGAATTTTGTCGACGAGACACTGGTGCTAGGGTGGTCGGATTGTTTCGTTCCCGGGGTACAAAATGCCCTTTGATGCACCGTTCCACAACGTTGATTCTACCATCTCATCTGGCATTTCACTGAAGCTTGATAATATCTGGACAAATAATTTAACACAAGGCTGAAGTGTTCTCTTCTTTCTGCATGATCAATACAACTTACATAGCACCTGGGCCTCCCATTGATGCGCGCGCTTTTTCTCGCGGCAATTCAAATACTTGTCTGGGGGTGGAGCCACATGTTGTTTTTGCTTTAAGGGCATAGTCGGTCCGTCCTTTGAGCGGGGTTCTCCAAAGCTAGAAACTAACCGAATGGAAGTCAAACCTAAGCAAATAGAAAATAAACAACAAGTACCTATAGGCATAGAAATTGCGGTTTCAAAGAAGCGTGAACACCAGTGGCGAGATGTTTGTGTTCGAAATTGTAAAATACTTACAAAAAAGGCGTTTGCAACCCCCGTCGTTGCCATTTTTCATCCAGAATATCTTGGCCAGATCTCGTAAATGCAGCTGTTGTATCTTTTTACTGTTCTTTTTTCTTCATCATGGCTGTAAATATGGGTCTAAAGACGGGAGAATGACTGAATGCCTACATAAAAAAAAACAGACTGCTTGGTTGTTGAGTTTCTTTCATTTATAAGCATAATTGAAAAATCCACCAGCCCTGGAATGGTGTGTTTCTGACGTTCACACCAGAGCGGTAATTCAGACACGAGTCTTGGAGTGTTCTGGTGTCTTGGCGTGTTCTCGTGTCTTTGCGTGTTCTAGTGCCTTGGCGTGTTCTAGTGCCTTGGCATGCTCCGGTGACTTGGCGTGTTCTGATGTCTTGACGTGACCCTGTCAAGTGCGTTCTGATGTGACCCGGCAGATCTAGTATCTTCTGGGGTGAGTTTCTCATGCATGCACGGTATAATTTAGATGCAGAAAGGACTGCTGATGACAGCAGCTAGCAAATTGCACAAAAAAAACTCAAATTTTTCAAAGGTTTACGTGTTTATTTTGCCATGAAAAAAAAATCTACAAAGACAAAGAGAATGAGACTTACTATTTTATTTTTTTCCCGACCCGCACCACTCGCACACATTCCTTTGCAGACAGGGCTGTCCATGGCTCTTTTCTTTCATGCTGTTTTTGCCAGCAGATCTGAATAGCTAAGGTGATGGCATGGGCACGTTTGCATTACATGATAAAACCTACAGTGCATAAAAAATACACGAGCAGTTATTCATAAAGAAACCTTAAAATAATAAAATCCAACTACAACAGTAAACAAAGAAGTGCTGTCGTGTCAAGCCTCGTTATCAGTCAATTTATCATTCAGCCCGCCCTTCCGCGTTCAATCTGCTTTCCCCTACCTGTGATCAACATAATAGAGTCAAAACCGACTATATCAAAGTCTGAGAAAACCGCCTAGCACTTCGATATAGCGGGCAATTCTCTATAAATCTTTTAATGAATTTTACAATAAACAAGCACGCCACATTTAGAAAAGTAGTTTACTCTCGAAGGTGCATCTGTAAGTCATGAGGGACGCTCACCGCAGCTATTTAGTGGTGGCTTCTTCGTTTGCCGGCTCACCCTCTCCCCCCGCCAAACAGATTTTTCTCCTTTTTTCTTCTGGCAATCGACGCGGCCGCCCAAAAGAAAAAAAAAGCCAGTTTTCTCTGCAAGCAGGCTTTCCCCCAAGGAAAATCCCTAAGTATCGAAAAGCCACCTTGTAGAGCTAAACAGCCCTCTTGGCAGATCGAATTATAGGGAGATGCTGCATTTTCGCTCGATGTAATAACATTTTTCGCTATGCATTTTTATTGCAGCTGCCAGTCCATTTACAAACAGTTTGAATTAACCGGGTTCGATATTATCGGTTTTGTCTGTAGATCGAACATCGTGTCCTCGTTCCCAGTGTGCAAAGAAAGCGCTGCACCCCACGCGGCATTTCTCCTGGTCTGTCCGCATTCACCTTATCTCACCTCATAATGTCACTGACTGCGTATGTCTGCTGCACAAGGCAAAACCAACAATAGGCTCAAGAAATATCTCAAATCATAGTAAATTATAACTCTCACTATAGCCACATTATGTGCAGAGCTAAGCACAGCACAGCCAGAACAGATTACGTGCCCTTCTAGGTTGACCAGAAATACCCACCTCTCAGAGAGTCCATTTTTTCCTGTGTTGGGTTCTTCTTTCCCACCACACCCTCTTGCAGGAGACGCCTGCAGGCTTGCCCCGACACACCCCTGTCGAAGATCTTCGCAGGCTCCCATAGTGATCGGCAGACCATTCTGAGATAGCGGCCACGAATCTTGTTTAAGCCAGCCTGATATGGTCTCGAAGCTTTTAAATTCTCTTCTGCGCTGCCCATTTCAATATAAATCCATAGTTAATTTCACGTTAGACAGCGATATTATTTCCTGTACTGGAATTGGAAATTGCATCTATGATAACTTTGTGAGGGTGGGGAATAGTGGTTATAGCATTAATGCGTAAAGTAATATTTCTCTCACTAGCGAGACTGTATTTGAACACCACGGATACCGCAGAAGTATTCTACGTGTTTATGAACATAACAAAGAGTCGCAGTCATGATTATGAGGACCTCTTCATCAAACCCGTTAAATTCGTACTCGATCTGCTACAACCTTGCGTAACTCATTTGTGCAATCTCATACTACCTTTTTCTGACAAATGTTCTGTTTCGACACACTCGCTATTTGGCATAAGGAGGTATAGGTCCACGGAAACTGCGTTATTGGTAGAGAAAGAAACAATTCAAGACTATTTCAAGAGCAGAGTCTTAACGTTGGGGATCTTCGTGGCTCTTAGTAACGTATTCAACGGGATAAACCATAGAACTCCTCTTGATAAGCTAGATTGTTATGGTATTCGAGTAGTTCTACCTTCACTCATTTCGTCCCATCAACAGCATCGTTCCCGGTACGTTCAAATCAAAGATCATATATCAACCACGCATCACATTTTCTCAGGACTTGCCCAGGGAAGTATTTCACGCCCTATATTGTTTATCATATACAATAATGATATTAGAAAAATTAAAACTCCTGAAAAAACGTGTTATGTATGGGGTGGACACTAGCATCTTGTTTTCTGATTCTAGAGAAGTACTCACTTTCAAAGCAAACCTTTTTTTAAGCATATTACAATAATGGGTATTTACGAATTGTCCTATTATCAACACATCATAAACAACTGCAGTCTTATTTCAATGTTCAGCGTCACGAAAGAAGTTATCGCGCGATTCCTTTTTAAGGTAACTGTTCGTTATAATGCTTTGATGATATAAAACTCTGATATGAAATTTTCGAGTTATATGTCTGGGAATAATCATGTTGCATATCTGAATAAGAAACTTTGTAAAGTTAAAGGGATTATAAATAAGCACAGACCCACACACCCAGTAAAAGTTTAAACGAACTTACAATGCATTATTTTTCTCTCTACTTCGTTACTTCCATCTAGTGTGGGGAACGACTACTGATGTTAACAATGTAACGGTGCATCTCTTACAGGAAGAGGCGCTTAAAATAAGCGCAAATATTCTACGTTATTACCAATCGTTTCCTCATTTTGAAAATAAAATAATTGATATATTCGTGATGTGTTCGCATAATTGGTCACTGAGAAAGATCCGTAAATCATATATGATCATTCTTTTAGATCTTGCTAATTTAGAAAAAAAATCAGTCATCGCGACAGAAGCCCCTCAGGCGTATTACTCTTCGAGAAATAATTTTGTACTTCAAAGATATCGTCACCAAATACTGCTTTTATTGAACACTTTGCATTTACGTGATATTGATGCACACTGTGAGAAGTACGATTCAAGAAGTTTTGTAATAAGTAACCACCATTTTATATTTTATATTTTCTGGTGGATAGCTTATATGTAAGTGCATGTATATGTATACGTGTGTGTATTTTTTCATCGCCTTAATGCCGCTTTTACTTTGTATTGGGAGAGCTGAAACTCGTAAAGCTGCAGGACTGCAACTTTTTTTCCGGCGTCCTTGCCACAAATGTTCTGTTTGGGGCGAACATAAAACGATTTGATTATTTCATTTGATTAGATAGGACCTCATGTTATATTTATTGAATAAAACATTGCGCAAAATCGGATGTTGTATGCTAAGACCCTCACACGTAAAAGGAAATTTGGCCAAAGTTTCATTCGCTCATTTGTCCTATGAGACCTTGTCATGGGAGCAGTTGACAATACGTCCCGTTATAACAAGGTCAGGGTTTTGCCCATAACCATAAGAAATACCCGTGTGTTTCCTTTTTCACGGTCAACTCCTGAAATAATCACAGAAATATATAAGGGGACGAGGTAAAGAAAACATTTCGACTTAAATCTTTTACCTGTGAGGGTACGCAAAGAGTCACATGAGTATGCTAATGATCATGCTCGTTGTCTAGTAAAATCATACACAGTTTTAGTAAAAGAAATGTAATTCTCGCCATTGGCCAAGCACTTTTTGTAGTATCCAGTGTTCTGCGTACCTAGAAATCTGCGAAAAATCAGATGCGCGGGATTTGATTTAGAAAAACCTTCTCTCTTTTCATCTTGAGTAATAATAAAATGTAAATAACTTAATTTATTTGCCGTTTCAAAATCTTGATTTTTGTAATCTTATCGCATGTATTCCGAAATGCTCAGGGTTTCATTTTTTCTATGTTGATCAAGACAAGCTTAAATGTTTCAAGCACGCTCTAAATGGGGCACCTTTATCACATCTCATATTCTTCATTAAATCTATTGACACGTTTTTACATTCTTTGCAGTCTTCTTGCCGATAGTAACCTGTGCTCCAGCAAGAAAAGCCAAGAAAGAAGACGACCGATCTTGTGCAACAAGGGACCGAGAGGCCAAAGAAGTGGGAGTAGGTCGAATTATACAAAACATTGGCAGCGACGTCTCTTGCCGGCGTCCGATAATACCTGAAATGTGGTATCCATACGCTATCTCACATGTTGGGCCTACCGTCACCAAAGGCACCGGGGCACGAATGTTGCCCAAGCAGTTGGAATGGAGGGGAAGGAGGAACTACGCTTTAACCCTTTCCGTCCTTGCTGCAATCTCCCCTTTCACCCCCCCCCCCCCCCCCCTTCGTTGCTTTGCAAGTCTTTCAATTTAAAAGCGCACGCCACTCAAAATTCGTAACAACGGCTTTCCTCTCCCTCCCTAACATGGCTTCGTCTACACTGCTGTTCGCTCATCCAGCTCGTTGCTCGCCCTCCCGCGGCAGAAAGGGAAAGCGCTCTAGTGAGGGTTCCCGATTCTCCTGCTCAGCGGGCACGGCGCAACTGCTCGCTATCGTGGCTCGCGAAATGCTAGTTCCGAAGGCAAATAACACTATCCACGGTCCCAATGTAGTGCTGCAGCCGAAATTTAATTGTACCTTAGCAAAGAGCAAAGCAAAGCAAAAGCAAAGCAAAGCAAATGCAAAAGCAAAGCAAAGCAAACGCAAGCCCTGGGCGTGCGTTTGAGATGTGAGATCTGCGCGTGTGCGTCGTCGCCATGTTCCAATCGAAGACAGCAATGTCGGGCTCCACGCACGCGCATTGTGGAACACGCAACGCTAACGCAAATGCACCATACTTGCGTTCACTCGTATACGGAATACTAAAACTCACTACCGTTTCACTGGTTTCCAACGCCCGTGGAACGTGCTGCAGGGAGCAGTCGTGCAAGCGGGTAGGCGTCCTTTTAACTGGAAAGGCATGAGGTTGGCAAGAAGACGTCGCGAACGAATTAAAAAAAAACTAAATGCTCCGGAAATTTTTTTTTTTTTTTTTTTTTTTTTTTTTTTTGAGGGGGGGAGGGTAGTTGGAGGGCATTTATTTGGTTCGAAAGGATTGGCGGCGACTTTGGAAGTTTTCCGGATGTTCAAATTCGCGACATTGATAGCACCATGTGGTAGCCAACAATTAATGAAGTTTTACATGGATTTCTCAGATTAGCTAGAATGTATTAATTTGCTTTATACTATTTATATTTTATAATTTATGAATGAAAATGCTGCTATTGGGCACCAGCGATGATAATTTGGCCACTTTAAATTGCCATAATTGTTCGCGTTTCAAATTAGAATATAAGCAACAAAACATTTTAGAGCTTGAAAAACTATGTATCCAACTATCTCCTTTATCAAATATCTCCCTCATCGTCTGTTCTCGTGGCTTGGTTCTCGTAGGCAACATGGAAACAAACATCGTTTTCAGGAATTGTTTTTATCCTTACGCCGTGTCATTCCTACGCACTGTCTAGAAGAAGATTTCTACCTACGAAAAATCGCTTTGCTTTCATAGGTAACACCGATTTTACCCTGGAGTGCAAAAAAATATATGGTGGTGCGCGTGCTGAAAAAAGAAGGGCCCTTCCGCTATTTTGCCTGATTAGAGCGGCCCCTATAGTTCGCTGGAGTCGCGAATACCGCCACGCATTTCCGACCCTCACTATAACCGCCATTTTGGAAAACGAGTGGCGCCACCTATAGTATGCTGGAGTTGCGAATAGCATAGGAGGCTATCGCAGATCGAGTTACTATTGAGTCATAATGGAGGGAACGATATGTTAATATACATTGTTGTCATTCTTACTAATATATAATTTATTTAACTAAGTGCGTATTGCCCATAAAGGCCTTCAACATTTAATAAATGATGATAACGATCATGATGATTAATCGATGGCCCGTTAATCTTGTATCTGAGTACGCAATGTAAGCGTCTGTACCGGCTACCGTACTTGGATCGCCTCGACGCGTTGCCATCTGCGTGCTCATGGTTTCCTCTTCTCCCGTCGCCCCTCGAAATTGTACTCCTCCGTTCGGGGTCCGAGCGGAGGTAAAGAACGTAAAGAACACGTGATGCCAATTCCCGCATTAAATTTAGAGGTGAAACTAAATTGATCTAATGGTCAGCTCACGTCAATTTGCTGAGTAAGTTTAGCGGGGTAATAAAATTTGTGTATACGGCAGGCGACAGCAACTTTCCCGCGAGATTTAGGGACAACTTTATTGGTGCATAGGCCACGTAACATCAGTTTCACCTTTAAATTTTGTGGGGATACTACATTCCCTAGTAAAAAAGTCGTGTATGTATAAGACATTTCTTGTCCAATAAAGACATATAATCAAAGAAGATAGTAAGAACATGTAATGAAAGTATGAGAACATATAAGAACAATATAGGATTTTATAAGAAGTTTACGAGACTTCTTATAGGCTTCTTATAACATCTTATATACTCTACTTTAGTTCGTATGTATTCTTATATTACCTTATTTGAGCATGTGGGCTTATTGGAGCAAGACATTTCTTATACATATATAACATTTTTCATTAGAGGCGGCCTGCAGGCCGCCGGACACCAATCTATCCCGCTAAATTTACCAGAGAAATTTGAATTGATAGTTAGGACAAGGGAAGTGACTTACCTTGCTAAATAAAGCGAGACAACTGAATTGACATGTGGGTAACGTGAATTCAATTTTCCCGCAAACTTTCGAGCGGAAACTGAATTGACGGATCACACCAGCCAGTTTGACTACGCCACCGTTGCCGCAGTGCGTCGAGGTAGATTTTGTCTTTCCGCACGTGTCCGAACTTCGCTTGAACTCTGCACGTGCGGAGGACAAAACGGCACGAACAGCCCGTGGCACTTCCGCATGCGTCTTGTGAACTAAAGTTGTGGCGGCTTCACGCATGCGGCGAACGCTTTTTGAAATCCGTCTGTTGGCCTCCGTTTCCCCGCTGAATTGCCTCTCCGCACTGAATTGGTTCCAGTTTTCACACATGATGTCAGTTAAACTCACGTCAATTGTCCCCACAAAATTCAACTGAGAAATCCACGGACGGAGCGACAAACCTACGTACCGTCAAAATATTGAGAATAGGGTGTTCATTGAAGAAAACGTCACAAGCCAGGCGAATTCGTTTTTATTCGACGTACTAAATACCGAGACGGAGGCTAAGAAAGGAGAAACACAGTGTCTCCCGCTGTTGGTCCTGCATTTTTTGCCTCTTTCTCTGTCTGTCTTTAGTTCGTCGTGAGGGAGTGCTCTTCGCAACTATTCCACGCTTTGTAGATTAACATTTAAAAGTAGATTAAAAGATTTAGATTCGTGACATTTATTAAAAAAACTAATTCAAATATTTATTCAAAGCATAAAAATAAAAACGTTCTATTTAGACAAAATTTAGATAGCATTTCATGCCCAGGAAGGACGAAGCACATGACTATAAACAGTTACCATGCATCTCTTTCTGGGCTCCGGGCACATATCTCTAGTTTCATCATCAATAGGCTCTGTTATGAACGACGCTTGCCATCTACATATGTGTCTCCCCAGTGAACTGTGGGCGTATCACTTCTTTACGTGCCCGTATATCATAGTCACCTTACATCTTAGTCTCTCGCTGGCAGAGTGTTAGGCCTAAACGACCGTTGCTGCGCGGAGGAGCACAGCCCCGACTGGCATTTCTCTGGCTTCTCTTACTGAAAGGTGACGTACAAAATTCGTGGTTATCATCCCGTGTGCCCCGTTGTGTCCGGTATGTGTATGACAATGTGAAGGCGTTCCAAGACCAGCCCACAGCCAACCGCAGCAAAGACCAAAAAATAAAATACATAACCACCCACCACATCACCTCAGTTTCACCCACCAGCTGCACTTGAACCAGAATGTCCATTTTTCTTTCATCTAAACATTACTATTTCATCATAATCATCGCCGTAGGCCTTCGTGGTACGGGCGATTGCCTTTCTTTGGCGCAGCAGTTCTCCTGAGCTAGAATAAATATCATTATCAATATGAGTCAATATCCATGAATTAAAAATTTCGAAGTCGTGCTCATGCTGACAAAATTGAAAACTATACATTCGCTTAAACAAGCGCAACATATATATTTATAATATTTTAGATATTTGTCTCTCGTGCAGGACAAAGTCGTTGACAGTTGCAATTACTGGTGCCTCCCAAACAAGAACGACCGCGACAACTATGTAAATAAGTACTATCCCGATGGCACGAAATGCAAGGTAAGTTTCAGCGAGTTTGTGGGGGTCAGGAAAGACGTCCGTCGATGCAAATCAACAAACTGCTCTTTATAACCACACAATAACTGAAAAGAACATAAAAAAGGGGGCTCCGCTGAGAACGCCCTGCTACACCGTGGAACACTGCCAGGCTCGTGCTGTTCTGTTCGAGCCCTGAGCTCGGTCCCGTCGGTGCTGCTCGTGCCGCGCGCATGAAACGTCATTAGCTGCTGACGTTGCGTGAGTCACCGCTCTATGTATGTATGTATGTATATTTGAGGCACAATCTCTTTGTAACGAGAGTCTTGTAAGACATGCCAATAAAAGCAAAAAATAAAAACTTAATAAAAAAGGACAACAACGAAAGAGAACTGGTTAGCACGTGTGTCCAAAGTTCGCCAACCGTCACTTTCGCACAGTCAAAGTTAATCAGTTCACATGACACCGTCGTTTTAAGTGAACGCTTGCCCCTCCAGCCAAAAGTAAAGCAGCGGCTATTGGCCATCTTGGTCACCTTGGTCGTCTTGGTCACGACCCCGATTTTTCAGTCGAGTCTGCCACCATGCCTCGAGCCTCCGCTTGGAGCATACTACATGGGTCTGTTCGTTGGTGAAACCAAGTGCCTGCTCCAAGCGGGCACCCACGACAGGCCTTGGGTGTAGCGCCCTGCACGCAAGCAGCAAGTGGTCGATTGTCTCTTCGCCCGCTCCGCACGCACTACATACCGTGTCAGTCACGCTGCTATCGTACTTGGTTCGGTATAGGCGGGTACGTAGGGCACCACCACGGGCCTCTATAAGTAGTCGACTGCCCAGTGTGTTCCCGCAGAAAGTAACCGGGGCAATCTCCGTCTTTAGAGACGCGTACATGTGCATGGAAGTGTGTTGTAGCATGCCGCTCATCCAACGGTCCCTCTCAACCCTCTTCACTTCCTCCCGCACTGTGCTCATCCACTCCTTTTCTGTTTGAGGTTCAGTGGCCAAGCTGAAGATCTTAAACTTTGTCCCAAGACGAGTGACTCGCTTCCTCCACGTCGAGTTGATATGCTTCAGGTGAATGTACATAAAAACTCGCCTGGCCCACCGGTCTCCGTTCATGTACCGGAGACGTGTGTAGTACTGAAGCTTGCTGTTTGCCTCCCGCGCTTCAAAGGAAGACCAGCCGACATCGCCCTCTATCAGTTCATTGGCTACTTGTCCATGACACCCTAGTGCCTGTCGTCCGACCTCCCTTTGGCGCCGCTCGAGATATGTGCGTAGCTCGCTAGGAAAACATATGACTGAGTTTCCAAAAGTCAGCCCGGGCACAGCCACAGCCTTCCAAAGTTCTCGGGTGACAATGTACCGGTCACAGCTCCATAGGCTCCGCCTTCGCAGTATGTTCCGCTTGCTAACTGAGGACTTCCTGAGGCCCTCATGGTGCTCAGTCAAGTAGTCCTCTCTAGCCGACAGTGTTATTCCGAGGTACCTGTATTCGGTGTGAAGAGGTATGGCTGAGCCTTGCAGGATGAGCGACCCGAGATTGCACCCCTCGCCAGAAAAGATGACTGTCGCTGACTTGCCAGCATTGAAGCGTAGTCGGAGGTGTTCCGCTGCAGTTTCACAGGCGACGAGCAACCTCCTCATGTCTTCCACACTGTCGGCCATCAGCACGAGGTCATCAGCATAGGCAAGGCCAGGGAGTCGCCACGCTACAATATCACCATGCTGGCGGTGTTCCAAAGTGAAACCAATGCCAGTGTCTTCAATGGCCTTTTCCATGCTAGAGGCATATAGCATATATAGCGTCGGCGACAACGGACAGCCCTGTCGTAAACCTTTTCCAACTGTGACCTCGCCTGATGTCACACCATTGAAGGATGTCGTCACCACATTGCCGTCGTATAACCGACGGATCAACCTCACCCATGTTTGGGGCATATTAAGATGTCTCAGCCTTTCCAGCAGCATTAGGTGAGGGACACAATCATACGCTTTAGCAATGTCTAGAAAGCAGCATATCAGAGGTCGCCTCTCCGCTCGCGCTATCTCGATGCATTGGGTCAATGTAAACAGGTTATCGTCCAACCGCCGCCCAACTCGAAACCCGTTCTGCAGTTCCGTAAACACGCCGGCTCCCTCAGCCCATGCTGTGATTCGCCAATTGATGATAGTCGTGAATACTCTGTATACAACTGCCGTGACGGTGAGCGGTCGGTAGTCATGCAACAGCTGCTTGTTTCCACCTTTTTTCCAGATGAAGGTTACTCGACCGCGCCTCCAGTCAGTGGGGATCGGGTCATCTCCGCTGCATATGCGACTGAACAAGTGGGCCAACTGCTCTTGAGCGTCGGGTCCCAGGCCTTTCAGTACCTTAGCCGGGATTCCGTCCAGGCCCTGCGCAGTGCCGCCGTTCAACCGCGCGAGAGCGCGTGCGACCTGTACTCTTCCCACGATGGTGGTGTTGTCACTCGTCAAATTAAGTAGCGGTGGATCTTTGATATAAGGGCCTCCTGCTGACACGTTCTCATTACCGTGGAAATGCTGTGTCGTCCCAAAAAGATTGTGAAGGTGTTCATCCAAGAGAGCTCTAACGTTGTGCACTACACCTCCATTTTTGGCATCGATCAGTTGGGGAGAATTATCTCTTCCATCCAGTGTTCCAATATAACGCCAGAACTTCTCTCCGGCTCTTTTTCCACCCTTTCTGATATCTTTCATCACCTTGCAATCATGTATCTGTTTTTTCTCCTCGACGATAGATTGTGTTATTGCCTTGAGCTTCTGGTATTCCTCCCAGAGTCGCAGAGTCTCCGGTGCTTTTCCAAGCGTCCGCAGAGCCCGGCGATGGTCTCGGTTTGCGTCTTGCCTGAGTTGGATGGATCTCCGGATTTCAGCATCCCACCACGATACAAGCCGTCTTTTCCCGCTTGAGCCTCTCATAATCGACCGTGTGGTGATTGCCTGCCGAAGTGCATTGGCATAGTCATCATAGATGAGGGCATTTATGCGCTTATCACTTTCTTCGAACTCCTGACATACTGCCTCAATATCACATTCACGTAATTGGAACGTCATTTTACGTTTCGGCCGGCTGCGTTGTCGTTGGATTGCACCAAAATGAAGTATGATGCTGTTATGATCGCTGCCAATACTCCACTCGCCATCTTCATCTACAGTTATTTTTTTAAGGCGACGTGCGAGCCTCTTTGATGCCAGGGCATAGTCGATACATGTTCGTCGGTCCCGGGCCATCCATGTGTGTTGCCCCTCACATTCCTCTCTGAGGTTTAGAATCTCCAGGTCGAACTCCTCCGACAGCTGTCTCAGCATTCGGCCATTGTCGTCCTCACGCCCGTCAATCTCAACCAGATGACCATTAAAGTCCCCCATAACTAGCACAGACAGTCTTCGATCTAGGTTTTCGATGTCACGTTGAACGCACTCCAGTATGGCCTTATTCTCCTCATGCCTGGAATTGGCCACGGAAAGGTAAAGGGTGCATACCGCCGTCGGTATGTTACCCACCTGTCCTTGAACCCACAGGTGTTCGCAGCACGTTTCAGATATCCTTATCCATGCTTGTCCTCCACTTGGCCAAAGGAGGCCCACACCACCTCCCCGTCGGTCACCCTCCACCCTGTTACACCCAGTCCAGCACCAGGAAGGGTCTACTGGGGGTTCCTCAGCGTCCCGCAAGTGTGTTTCAGCAACCCCGAACAAAGAAAAGCCTTGTTCCCGGAGTACTACATAGAGCTCAGCCCACTTTCGTTGACGCCTCGCACTATTCAAATTTAAAAAGCCAACGACAGCACTGCCTCTTTTCCGTGGTTGCCCTTGCTGCCGCCGCGCCAGAAACTCGGTCAACACTCCCGCTGAAGCTGCATGGCTGCTAGTTGCTCTCGGACCAGTTGATTCACAAAGTGCGTCAGCTCTTGTGATGGGGCACTTGTGGGGTGCTGAAGGCATCCGGTCATCAAGTCGGTCAGCATTGGGTTGCACACAGGCAAGGTCTGTCTCGCAGTAGGCCCTAGAGCAAACGTTCCTTCCTGACTGCCTGTCCTCGATGGGAGTGCCCCACAGCTTTGTCCTTGAAGATGTCCGTTGGGTGGTATGAGGAGTGGGGGCACCCATATTGCGTGCAGAGGTGACGACTGTGGCGGATGGTCCCTCTGGCATTGTAGGGGATACACAGGACCGTGAAAGTTGGGCACCGGCTTCTGTACAGTCTCCTTTGATATTTAAGGCGTGTTCACCACCCGGTGTGCTCCACTCGTTCTGGGACCAGAAGACAGACCTGGGAGGTCGTGAGCGAGTGCTTTTTTTTCTGCCTCTGACCGGTTTACTACTGAGGAATGCGTCCCGTATCGTCTCCTGTTGCTCCCAGTATGGTCGCTGAAATTGTCAATTCTTTGAAGTCCTAAAAATGAGTCACTAATGCACCCACTCGGTCGGTTAGCACCTGGCTACCTTCTCTGCAGTAGTGAAGCCCGTCCTTTTGCATTGCTGGGATGCTGGCCAGTTCTCGGCTGAGGTCGATAAACCTTGCTCTAATTCTCTTGCACAGCTGCTTCAGCTTTGCATTCAGGAGCATGGTCGTAGCGCGTAGTTCCTTTCCTCTGCCGTCTATTTCGGGTACTGAGCAGATGGCTAGTGATGCCTTACGTTTGGCCCACTGTAGCCTCAGTCGCTCTATAATTGTGTCAGGTTGCTCGCCCTTCAGAACGTCATTCAACCCCACGTGCAGTATATACATGCGGGGTACATTCCTCGCTTTTTCCTCATATGTTTCGATAATTTTATGTACTACCTCAGTTGTGGCTCCCCTGTTCGTTATAAACTCCATGCTTTTAGGTGCTTCGACTTCCTCGATGAGAGCTCGAGCTATCCGCAGGAAGTTCCCATCTCCTGCGATTATCACTTCTCGTGTGATCCCTCGTGGCGGTCGGATCGGAACATCCTCATGCGTCAGCTTCTTTGCAGCCACGGGCACGTGAATCTCTTGAGTGGACATGTGTGTGACTC